ACCAACACCTATTTTTTATGGCAGTACGAAATTCGCTGGGACAGCTAGTAAGAACGATAAATTTGTGACTTCCTCTAGTGAGTCTGGCGAGTCAAAGGCCCCTAGACAGCTGTAAGTTCACTGATCCATGACATATTTCAGTCGCGGTCTCAGACGTTTTTATTGCTGATTTTATTCTTATTTCATATTCCTTTTTTACCTATTTTACTTGGGTTAGATCGTACCTCTTATTGAAAGAACGACGAAAGTGTGATGAGTTATGCATGCAAAGGAAGCAAAAGATATGTAAAGTCCGTGGTATGTGTTCGCTAACAGCGGGATGTAAAGATATGTAAATAAACAAATTTTGATTTATATGAGAAACTTTACCAGCTTACTTTACAGACAACGATTTTAGTTATATTTCCGAAAAAGAGAAACTTTTTCTTTCGAATAGTGTCTCCACGTTAACCCAATAATTGTCATAAATTGATTCAAATAAATCTACTTTTAGGATCTACGTGCTTTAAATGGATTATGCAATTGTAATAAGCCTCATTTTATTTTTATATAAACTCTATTACATTAAAGTTGTCCCTCCATAAATATTTGTTAGTAAAATTCAAATATTTGAAACGTGTCGAGAGCGGTTGTGACGTAAAAATATATATCTACCTTACAACAAACAAACGTGATGTTCACAGGATATGCCAATGCCAACGAGATTATAGTGCGAGTGCGTATTTTTCAAAGCCGCATTCCACCTAATCACCGAGTGCAACTTTTCATATGACATTTAATTTTTTACCAAAAATGAAACTTAATGTCTATTTGATTGACGTAGGTTCCAACTTCCATCCGCAGTGCAGGTATGGAACGCAAAATGTCAGTATCTTATAAGGTCGTTGATCTTGTTTGTAGTTTTAATGTATCGTGACGTCACGTCCAAGAGTTCCAAAATAGCGTGCGTTTAAATTTTAAAATTTTTTTTAGATACTTTATACTATATTTTGACGTTTTTTTAAACTGTATAATGGGGATATAAACTACTAAATAATAAACCTATGTTATTACAAATTTGCTGCGCTTTAGTAAATTTTGTGAACGATTTAATATACCTGCACATCAATATTTTTGTATGGAAGTGTAGTACATTAACTCTTCATAAACTGTTCTTACTATTTTTTTTTATTTATTCTTTACTCATTTTTGAGTTTCTACTGTTTCTTACTTTACGTTGAAAGAAAGTTAATAATCTAAAATAAGTTGATATTTAGATTTCGAAAAAGTCCATACACGTTTTTGATCACAGCTAGTGAGAGGATAGTTTAAGAAACTATTAAAAGAGACTGAAACTCAATCTGTATTTTTTTCATTTTGCAGTTTTATTTACAATCAGGCAACTAAATATTTTAAGCCCCAAGCACGAAGATCACCGAAAATGAATGGTAAATAACCTTTAAATGGCTTTGTTTTGGGCTGTTGGGCTCAATTATCAAATCCACCAAAGCGTTTAGGTGGGGCTATGTAAGGAAGCCTATTAATAACATAAATGTGACAAAACAAATGAATACCTACATTTGTTTTACGTTTGTAAGTATTGTTTTTGCATATTTGAGTAAATGTCAAATATACAAAAACAATACTTACAAACGTAAAACAAATGTAGGACAACGGATTTGGATAGATTTGGTAGACATTTATCTGATGTAGATTTTTTTTATGCATAATGATGCGATGAAAAGGTAACTAAGAAACTCGAGTCTCTACAATTACGCCGTGATGTGGCATCATTAAGCGCATTCTACCGACTATATCACGGCGAGTGTTCTGAGGAGCTATTCTCGCTTATCCCTCCATCACCTTTTCTTCAGAGGACCACGCGCGCTGGCCTACATTGCCACCGACTTACTGTGGCCACTATTCCTTCACGAACAAAGAAATTTGGCGACTCATTTCTTTGTCGTACTATTCGAAAGTGGAATTCTTTGCCCGCGCACGTGTTCCTTCCTTCCTATAATCTGGGGTCCTTTAAGAGAGGCGTGAAGAAGCATTTTTGCGGGCCGGCAAGGTGAGGATGGTTGGTGTAGCAGTTTATAACTGCTGTACCAGCTAACTTCGCGTTTGGACTTTATCACCACTTAACATCAGGTGGGGTAGAGTCATTTGCCTACCTAATCATATAAAAAAAAAATCCTAAAAAAACTAACTACAGGAGTAAGTTATTGCTCCAAAGGTTCTTTTTCTGGAATAATTCTCAGCATTCACGGTTTCTCAGAAATTAAGAGTGATCTCGACTCAAATTAAAAGTCCATATTGTTTTTATAACACAGCATACATGTTATATTAGGTCTATGCCTGTGAAATTGACGTTATTCATGAAATAAGTTAATGCCCTTTTTTCTAAATATTTTTTTATCAAAGTAATTACCCATGCAATCAATGCATTTTTGCCAACATAATGTTAGCTTATTCATGCCCTTTTTGAAAAAGTCTGTTGGACGAGAGGCAACAAATTCTTTAAAGGCATTTTGAACTGCCTCTCGGTTTTTCCCCCGCTAAGAAGTTATCCAAATTCTGGCAAAAGTAGAAGTCTGTAGTGGCAAAGACTGGTCACTACAGTGGATGTCGGAAAATTTCCAACCTCAGCTCTTGTAACTTGGAGACTATCTGCTATGTAGTATGAGGTCGCGCGTTGTCGTTCAGAAGCAACGGAGCCGAACAAGTGACCAAAGCTGGTTGGAGATGTGCGAGCTTCTCCATCATTGTGTTCAGTTCTTCATAGTACACATTCTGCAGCAATGCTCATCCCGTTTGGTAAGAAGCTGTGATGTATGACACGGCGCTTGATCACCAAACAGTAACCATCACTTTTTTAGTGGTCACTTTTCGTTTGGGACATTGTTTAGGTGCTGAACCAGGATCTAACCAACTTGCTGAGCGCTTGCGATTGTCGCACAGAATATATTTTTCTTCGCAAGTAACAATGCTATTCAATATGCCGTCGTTTGTGTGCCTGTTGAGTAGTGCAAGGCTCGACTCGACATGTACTTCGTGCTAACGATCATTCAATTTGTGGGGCACCCATTTGTAAAGCTTTTTTAACTTGCCAATTTAACGCATTCTTTTTTAATTTTAATTTGACGTCAAATACACACTAAATGTGTAAAATTTTGACATATGCTTATTTATATTCCAGTATAATAACTAAGGTCAAATTTTATTATAGATGAGACAACGCTGCCGTAGGTCTCATACAAGAAAACTTTTCTGTATCATCTTGGATCATTAAATCGTCACAGATACTTAAAGCCCGTTGTTCGATACATATTCAAATTTGTCTTAGCTTAGCTTCACGTCGTACATAGTAGAATGTCTGAGGTAGAATGTGTATATATTTTGTCAAATGCTTATTTTTTCTATAGTATTGTACCTATAGTCATATTATATTGTTTTAAAGTTTCATATTCACTAATATAATCCGCAATAACTTTAGTTACTCCGTGATCATTGCTCTTGCAAAAGTGCCAAAATATCGGAGACTCATAAAAAACAAGGTACATGGTAACAATCCCGTTATCAAACAACGCATAGCCTTAAATAAGAAGTCACTGGTCATAATAAGTATAAGTTTTCATTCCAGTTCCTAGGAAGCAAAAAAGGAATATCATATTTTATCAGCCGAATCCAATATGGTGTGAAATGTCTCCCGGTTTATATGCAAATTGCCTTCTCCGAGAAGAGCTACCGTCAATATTGCGGAAAACTTATCTAATAAAGTTAACCACATTCGATTGTTTTCGGTGCTTGCATGGAGATCTTATTGCCCATAAGTCATAGGTACCTCCTTAATTAAATTAGTATTTAAGTAGTCATTTTTATCAAAATATTGATGTTTCGGTTGGTTTAATTTTATTATTTGGCGGATAAAGATATTTATGTTGCGTTTACTCGTACACGACTCTATTCATTAGAACATTTTTTAGAAACGTATTGCAAACTATGTAGGTACCTATTTATGCAGGGATTTTAACATTTTGGTTGTTAAATAAAACAGTTTTTACGGTTTATATGCACTGAATTTATTTATTGACGTTTCGCATCCTTTTCAGGAATTCGTTGTCAGAATAATGATTTTTTATTTACTTTGTCGAGCTACCTTTGAAAGACTTTTATTGAGCGTTCGGATATTTCATTGTAAGATTTTTAAATCTTTATTGTCTATGCTTGAATTTATTAGCTAATTTAATTAATAAAGTAATTTCTTTCTTTCTTTTCATAATTTTGAGTTTATTTATTTGACTCTAACTACAACCTACCACCGGTTCAAAAAAAACTGTTTATTTTAATGAGTGATGTGCGTGAAAACCTAAGAAACAAATATTTTAATTGTTGTCTTTGTTGTGCTAAATAAGTAAATCGGTAACAAGTAGTAGAAATAATTAGAAAAATTATTAAAAATGTCTTAACAGAGTGCAATCAAAATGTTTACTTAACAGTTTCACCCGATCAAGTCTTTTAAGTCTTGATCGGGTGCAACGCTGGCTTTAGTCAGTGGAAATAAAAGCAAAAGATAGAATGTAGACTTACGAACGGCTGCCGTCAGTTTTTAAAATAACACAATTGTAAGGTACCTAAACTTACCATTCTCTAAAATTCTGATTAAAACTACGTCAATGTGTGCGTCATAGCAATGACGCTTAGGGCGAGGAAACAACATGCGTTACGACGTGTCATCGCAATAACGACGTGTCATCGCAATAACGACGTTGCATCGCAATATGATGACGCAACGCAAAAAAAACATACGGACGGACAGACGGACGGACATGACGAATCTATTAGGGTTCCGTTTTTTGCCATTTGGCTACTACTAAAAACATCGCAACGGCCAGCAGCGCATTGGAGAATTCCGCGATGCTTTGTACAACGGTCTTGCCCTTAGTTCTGAGACAACTTTCTGCTTGGCCGCAGTAATTACGTAGCTTTACTTTTTGGTAAAAGTCTCATCTCTGTTCCAGGTAAAACGAGCTCTCTAATAAGTATATCGGAGGCGTTGGTGCCGGTGATATACTCGCCGGTGTACAGCAAGGTGTACCTCAGCACGCTGTCCACGTTCGCCGGCGCTTTCTACCTCATCAGTGCAGCGCTTGCCGTCCCTGCTATAGCGATATTAATGTGAGTATCCTCGTATTTATACTGCTACTAGCAGCTGCCCGCGGCTTTGTCCGTGTTAACTTCAGCTTTTGGGGAATCGTTCAGGAACCTTACATTTTCCGGGATAAAAAGTATCCTATGTCTCATTTCAGGTCATTAAGTATATGCGTACCAAAATTTATCCAAATCCGTTCGGTTGTTTTTGTGTGATTGAGTTACAAACAGACAAACGTTCACATTTATAATATTAGTAGAATTGAGCTCGATTCTGGCATGATTCCCTTTCCATAAACCGAAACGAGCGAGTGAGAGATATAGAGGCGGAACAAAATATGTTCGGCCTCTCGAATCGAAAAAAAAATGGTTTTATACCCCATTTTAGAAAAAACTTGTAAATTTTCACTTCAATGAACTTGAAATGAGTCTTTTTACTCATTTGATCGCGTTTGCGTGAAACATGGACTTGGATTTTGCAAGTGCGTGAAATGTAATGTTATGGCATTTAAATAATAAATGATTGTTAATATTGTTTGAGGGTGCTATTACAATCTCGTCTGCATTTGCAGCCGCTGCAAATGCTGCCAGCCACCAGCCGAGAGCGGAATAGCACCTTTAGGGCTTGTTTCATGTATCATAAGTAGGAATTTAGCTACATCGGCCAAAATTAAAGTTTAATAGACTTTCTGTTTTGGCATCAAAGTCGTTTTAGGTACATCTTATTGGTGGAGAAAAGTGGTAAACAGTAGTTTATACGTTCTGAAATCAAAACTAACCGAATGAAAGTTATATAGTATTACAACAACACTCATTTAGCTAAATCATTCTTCTTTGATATCGATAAATAATCATAGAAAAAGATTTTATCTAAAAACAAAACTATATGTCATTTCTTTCAAAAAATATTTAATTTCATTTTCCCATAATATTATCATAGATTCCGAAAACAAACCTTTCATCAAAGTTCTAAATTTTAAAGCTTTTTCAGAAATAGCGGTGAGTGTCTTCTGTGTTGAAAAACTCAGAAATTAATAAAAGGCAAAATAGAATTTAACGACCATCTTGGGCGAAAACAATCGAAAAGAGTAAAGGACATTGTTCTGCGTCCATACATTGTTAGCCTAAGAACCAACAATTATGAAATATTATTTTCTAGGTTTGACATTGCAAGTAAATAACTGTAAAAACAAAGATTATTGACGGATACTTCTGAGAACTTAAATTATCAGGAAAACTAAATATTTTTTGAGGTTATGTTTAATATTAAATGAAACATATGTCAACCTATGAACTTAATATAAACTCAGTATGAATTGAATTAATATTACAACTAATTCATTTTTATTCGGTGCGATTTTAAAAAATAATTATTAGGTAAAACTTGGTTAGGTAGAAATCATGAATAAAACAAAAACTGTAGTTTTGCTTCGTAATTTTTGACTATTTTTCACATAATGTATCTTAATGTATATTGTATTTTATTTGTATATCACATGTATATTGTGTCAATATGCAGCGTGAAGTGTATCAGCTGCTCTTGAATAATTTGGCAGTATGATCCTCTCAGGATGTTGTGGCACAGATTTTCTAGCACTTGGTAATAAGGTCTCTTCTATTTGGTAACATCGATGGCATATTAGATAGCCGAAATAGTTAAATTATAGGAAAAACCATCACAAATAAACACACACAACAGGAAATCCGAAACGAGAATCCACTAATGCCACAGATTACTACGAATGCAAACTGCATGCACCACAACCACAAAATATCGAATTTTATGCCGGCCCTTCACTTGACAACAGTCTGTCCTTGTCATGCTTAATATGGAATAAAAATAACAGACTGATGTCAAGTTTTCAAAAAGCAAACACGAATAGCCAAGTGAAGTGCCGGCATTAGGAAGAAAGTGTTTTGTTGGCAGCGCTGCCATAGATTATACACATAAAATGGTAGTCTCAGATTATTTTTTAACTTTTCAATATAGCTTACTTAACTGGAAGTGTCCGTCACAATCTAAATATTATCGCAAAAAATATACTAGGATATCATAAATGCCAAATTGGTGTTGGTTCTTAGACCAAATTTAACATTGTCCTTTACTTTTCTTATATACTAATTTGTCTATGTTATTACAGTCATGGAGTTTATATTCACAACATTCTGAACATCTCTATCATGAACAAATTTTATGTACTAGTACTTGTTTGAAATATAAAATCAGGCCTTTTAAAATTTTATAACTAACTAAACTACAGATATTTATTATGTCTAGCTTAAGACAGCAGAGCTCTGTTGAAATACCTACATAAAAAAACACTTTCTACAAAATTTGACAGAGTAGTTCTTTTTTGCCACAGTTGGCCTGCGCAGACGAGGGACTTTTGTCCTGCATTGTGAATAAATGCTCGCCGAGGACTTGTCACGATATGGAACAAAATGTTCTGAGATTACGTTGTGTTGTACGTAAATAAAATCTATTAAAAAAAGATAAGACTTGAAAAGAGATGACTGGGTCCGTCCCTTTAAAATCACATCGAGCGCGCAACGCGGATTGAAACTTGACGCGCCACGTGGTTTGACATGCGCAGTAGCCGATTTAAAGGTCTCTTTAGCGATATGATGTGGTCTGAGAGGGGAAGGGACCAGGCGCCATAGGGGTAAATAATTAAAATCTATTAAAAAAAACATAAGACTAAGTGACCTCGGGACTTACTTTTTGTATGCGATACTTCGAATCGGATAATAATAAACACATCGGAAAAGTCAGCGGACAATAATGTCCGTCGTCTGTGCAGGACATAAAATCTGTTTTTTTTTTATTTACAATATGAATTATATTAAATGCCTCCATTCTTTAATGTTTAGTATACGTTTGCAGAAATCCTCAATAAAATGATAAAAACAAAACTTTTTTTTAAGATAATGGGGATGACTACCTTTATTTTCTTCATCTATCAAGTAGCTGATAAGGTATTACTTTCTATATTTATACATTCAAAACATTACAGAGATATTTTGATTTGAAATGACGCATGTCACACACACATCATCATCATCACACACATCTTGGTACATTTTTTCCTTAGATTAGAAGTGACGTTACGACTCGTCACCCACTCGTCACTCGCCCACACCCAAACTTCGACGCGAGAAAAAAATAATTTGTCCATAATTTTTGAAGTGAAAACTTCTTTAGCGGCATTGTACACTTTTTTTGTATGGGTAAAAAATGTTAAACTCGCGTCAGGACACGTGGACACGTGACCTAATCGAAAATTTGTAAGACGAAAACAATAAAATTGGAAAGGTTGTTGACTTTCAATATATTGGACGAAACATATTAATATTTTTATTTATCGTATTAAAATAATGTCTCGAACTAGGACGTCCAGGTGACAGCTTTATGGCGAAGAAAATGCATTTTTTTACAATAGATGTCGCTAGGTGCGCTTAAATGTGATTCATGCAAGTTATTTTTTCTCAGAGATAAACTTTTTAATATAATATAAATTGTGATGTTTGTGTACGATAGCGCAATAAATAAATATTGTATTCTATCACATAAATGATAGTACTTTTATACTGACAAATTAAAGCAATTCATGCAAAATTATTATTATTAAAATATTAAAATGCACAACGTTAATTTTCAAGTTTTCACTTCTGCCGGCACTATAATAATAATCTAACTCATGGATTAAATAGAATTAATTTAATTTTTCCCGTCATCATCCCTATTATCATATATTATTTATTATCTTTGAAGGACAAACCATTGTCGATGTCGGTGGAGAAGAAAAATCATCTTACCTAGTTACTTATTTTATAATTTACTTAAGTGGTTAAGTAAATTATAAAATAAGTAACTTTGTTCATAACTAAATTTAATATGATAAAAGATCATATTTTAGTAACACAATAAAACCTTTTTATTGGAAGTTGATACCGTTTTATAGGTACGAGTTCTAATCAAACAGCGAGGTAGGGCCGTATTTGAGGCAGGGCAGGCGTCCAGGGGCCTGGGCCGCTCCTTCGCATAACAGAGATAAAGTAATATAAGTACAAATTTTTGAGGTGCAAAAGCGTAAGAGGTTGTGCGCGCCATTTTTTTTAAAATATCTGCGTCCCTGGGTCTGCGCTCCTCCGTTGCCCTCTAGGTGCTCAAACTTGAACTGCTGGCGATCTACCTCAAAATTTTTAGACTACTTACGATCGACTCTGAGAGGCTGCAAGTATGTGATGCAGGGTGGTCCTACATACACGATACACCCCACCTACCTAAGTAGGGTGTACCGTAGCATATATAGATATTAGCAGTCGATCGCAATCGACCAGTCAATCGACCGTTTGAACATCCCTTAGAGCATCCACATCTCTAAATCTGGCCCTGGACACAAATACTCAAATCAATTAATTTTCATTATTGTCTTCCCATTCCCAACTTTTCATTATGACTAATTTCGATATTACAGTGTCAATAATTTCGACTGTTTCAAATTCCATTTTTATTGATATTTACATTTTTCCAACCAACATAAAAAAACTTCAATATAAGGATAACAAAATTATAGCCAAAATTAAGTGTTACTGACTACCTTTTGCGGTACGTAGTAACTAAAGTTATCTACCTGTGGTGCTGTATCCAATTTTCCAATGTCCCCGAATCCAAATCCGGCCCTGCAGCAAGGTCATAATAAAGTGACATCGTACTTTCGTGTGCGGTGAAGAAATATACAGTTATAAGAATGTAAACAAAGTGGTTACACAATTTTCTTTGTATCATTTTTTTGTGATAATATTTTTCTCGTTTCCTGTTGTCGTTTCTAAATCGAGTGTTGGTAAGATATTTTTGTAAGATCTTTTCGTACAGTCATTGTAAAATCAGTAGGTAATTAATGTAATTAGTTATGTGTTTTATTCGGTGTCGAGAACCTTGGTCCGTGGGGTCCTAGCGCTGTAAGGTTTTTTAAAGAAATAGCAAAACGGTTGGTCGACATCACAGGAGACTGAAGAGCTGGCAGCTACCTCGGACAAAGAATTAGTCTAGCTATTCAAAGGGGGAACGCTGCTAGTATCTTTGGGACCTTGCCTAAAGGGAGGGAGGGAATAATGTATTTTAGTTATTATATATTTTAAGGTTTTTAGTTATAAATATGTTACTATTTTTTTTAGTTAAATTATTAAATTACCTCCATTATTTTGTGTTTTAAAAACATTCTAAATATGCTCATATCATATTGGATCCGCTATAGATACGCGCGTGAAAATTTTGTGAGTTTTCACAGAATAGCATTGCAGATGGTCCTGTTTTGAGTCAGTCGGGATAATTCCAAAGAAGGTTGCGTTATTCAAGTATCCTGCGACATCTTAATCGGAATTATAAGTGATGTATATAAACAATATTTTTTATATATCGGGTTGACAGTAATCGTGATTACAAGATGAAGTAAATTAGAGGACAGGAAGGAAGCAATAATGACAGGTTACCAAACCATTGCTTAAGATAATTTCCTTAACCATACTATATACCGAAGCACTAAAGGCCTGTTGTTACTAGTTGAATGTGAGATTATAGTTCAAATAGGTGAATTAACGCAACCATTTGTTAAAATTTGACACATTTCCTATGTACTTATTTGACGGGACATTATCTAATAGTCACATTGAAATTGGTATCAAAAAGCAGGACCTTAGGACTATGGTCGGTATTGCTGCGCAGTCGTGTGATTGGTCAGTATTTATCCGTAGGTTTTTCATTCAATGCGCCATCCATCCAATTCGCGATTAGAAAGAAAAAGGCTAGTCGTCTCTCATCTTCTTTCTCTTTAGACGGACACTTTAAGGCCCGTATTACAGAATGGCAACTAAGTGTTGATCTTTACTTGAGTACAGTTAGAAAGGGATATCGCTATGTGCTATATATAGCGACATCCCTTTCTAACTATGCTCAAGACTAGATCAATCACTGAGAATCTTTCTATAATACGGGCCTTAGAGCCGCCTTCCCCACTCTATTCTTACACCTCTATGCTTTGTTGTTTAACGCGTTGTTTAATACTAGTTAAATCATCAAGTCCATGAGTTAAATGACACAATGTTGCTTTTTCCGCTGTCGTCTTCGGTTTCTAAAGACATGTGCACAGACCATAACCGTCTCTTCGAGAATTCATGTTGATGACTGCGTAAAATTTTAAAGAAAATGTTGTGTTGTCCCGTGTGTGCGCATCTTTCGAAGAAGACAGAGACAAATTAATTGCCGTGTGAGTAAGTTACTCTCGCGCTTTTTTTTAACAGCCTTTTTTTTAAACTATTTCTGATTGAAGTTTAGGTCGACATTGGTGTTCCAAATTTAAATTTCATTAGTACCCAAGGGAACTTCCATACTTCAAACTTAGATCCCTTGGACTTTAATAACTGGCTTTAAATTGCAAATACTTGACTTACAATACGTGTTCCAGATGCAGGTCGTGCATAAAATATGACAATAATATTAACCAGCCCGTTAATGTCTTCTTATTCTTCTTTAATTTGGACAGTTTTTGTCTCAAAATTATTGCAATTTAAAACCCATCGGTCTTATAAATCAAACCTTAAATACCTATTACATAAACAATTGCCTTCATTTCATTGTCCAAGTATAGTAGCTACATACTTTTTTAGCTCGTCACATCGCGTCGGCCGCCGCGTTTAGACACGTTTCCCAACTCTAGCGTTCATAATGATCATTTCGAAATAATGGCAAAAACTAGAAACGACCTTGCGGTTTGCATTAGAGCGCGCCCTTACAAGTAATTTTGCCATCGATCGATTTCTATCAACAAATAAGAACCTTGAACTGTAAATTTCTATTCTTGTTTGTGGTAGGTACCTCCATGGGTACCTATTTTCAGCCCTACGATATCGTAGAACCGCAGAGCCCCTCTTGTTTACACTAGCCGGTAATAGTTTCATAACGAAACCTTGAACACATGAAAGTACACCAATGTTTTGTTTGACAGAAAGTGTAAGATCTATTGTTTAATGAAAAACAACGGCAACTATATAATCATGTGCAAACTTATGTTTAATCTTTATATAATGCATTCAAAAAGTACCTCACTACGCTGTTAATAGAGAAACAAACATCTTTTTCTTCTGCATGAAACCTTTCATAGTTCCGGACTTAAAGCCTCGTGTATTGATTGTAAACATTTTGTTTACTTTAAATCAAAGTTCAGCGGGGTTATTTAGGAAAATTAACGTCACTAGTTGGCGCACTTGTGTCGTGAGATCTTTTGTATAAAGTTTTAGCGCAAATCAATTAAGCAAGCATTTAAAGGTAAACCGCTTAAATGAGACCTCACCTGCGGGGTGGGGGAGGAGGAGAACGGGCGTCGTGGGAGGTGCGGGCGGCGGGCATTTGTAATTTTGAAAAGAACGTACCCTCACTGTCCCCGTATTCGCTCTCCCCCGTACCCTTTACCCCGCAGGCAAAGACTCAGTTAAGCGGTCAACCTATAAATTTATCCATAGGACGACATACGCGATTTGACAGACGCCTTAGTTCTGCCACCTGGCGCCCATCATTCGAGAAAATAATAATCAGTAAAAATAAATAATATAATAGCGCGATTTACGGAGTTGATCAAAACTTATTTTCTTGTCGCTGTACATCAACAATTTTCATCAAAACTTGTTATCCAACTGTCGCTCAGCAATCCCCAATAATAAACTTAGGCTAGTTAAGCAATTCAATAATCAGTAACAAAACACTGCTTAAATAATAATCCAAGACTAGGGTTACTGTGAAAACGTGGAGTTAAATTTTCATGTCTACTTAGGGAAAAAGACATCATTTTTCCAAAGCTTAGTGTCATCGAACAGGCAGATAAGTTCTTAATTCTACAATTAATGGACTATCGACCTCCTATAGTACTCAGGGGCGTATTTACCCTAGGGTTTAGGTATGATGGGAGTACTTCCCAAGGCTCAAGTTGCCCCACTTATTTGCCCCGATCAGGTAAATCCCACAATCCCCGCTTAGGCCTCCTTAGGCTATAATGTTTCAAACAAACTTTACTACGAGATGACCTTCTAAATTCCATAAAAATCATGTTCACGCAAACGCAATAGAGAACACGAAGGAACGACCCCGACCTTATCCCACACACACCGCGGAACGTTGAACTATCTCGTGACTCGTGACATGACGTCACACTATTCCGTGCGAGCAGCCGGTGTTGATCGATTTATAAGACGTAGTCATGTCAAAAAAAAACTGTTAATCGATCGATTCAATGATCGTCAATTGCTTTGGAGAATACTCCAAGCTTATCGCCCTGTTCTATATATCCCTAATGACATATCTTCGCTAGTAGTGAAACGTACCTGAAATCATATTTGCACTATCCGGGACAACGCTATACACGTAAATGAGATCTTGTATCTCCATCTTTTTTACATATATGGCGCTGTACCGCATTCTGGTTCCAGAAAGATGGAAAGTGCAAAGACGACTACTTAACCATCCATCATTGGTTAATTATAGTCCACTCAACTTTTATCGTGTATACTCATTCACTTAACGACATGATCTGGCTTCGCACGGGAACTATAATGCGATAAAAAAAACTTCTTAATAATCTCGTCCCGATCCCAGAATCGATGTTCTGTTATACATACTTCCATGAGTGCATATGGCGATTGTTTTTCATTTAAATTATTATTGACGATCAGCTCGGTATCGCAGGTGGTTAGCGCATTCAGCCTGTGATCGTGAAAGTTATACTTTCAGTTATTTGATGGGTAACCATAAACGTATTATCTAGAGCTCCTCCGTGCTTCGGAAGGCACGTTAAGCCGTTGGTCCCAGCTGTTTCTGCAGTCTTTAGTGGGTGCTAAAATCCGCACTGAGCCCTCGTGGTGTGTCACGGCCCAGTCACCCTATTCCATCCATAGGGAAGACCTGTGCTTCTGCAGTGGGGACAGTAATAGGCTGATGATAATTAACGTGTAACTCTCTTCTTTCCAGAATACTACTCACTCTCAACAGGAGAGAGAAGCGTGTCCCTCCCGGACCTGAACCGGAGAGCAAGCCCAAGGAGAACGAGATCACGCAATTTTGACAACCCTACCTACTATTTATTGTTAAGTTTCCATGTTACCTCTAGTATACGAAAAATCTCAATAAAATTAAGGTTTTTAATGAACCGCTTGTTTTATTAACAATACCGTTTTGTAATGAAGGTATTTCTTAATTAAGTAGTTAGCCTGTTGTTTCAGCACCGAACAGTGGACCACAAAATAAAGAAAAAAATGTGGACAGTAGCTAATTAGTAATTAGATGGTAAACAATTTCGACAGAAAGATTTTGATGTTACTGCATCAAAATTAAATACTGAAATAGTAAATGTACCTACTTACTTACCTGATAAATACATCTAACTTAGATACATGAAGTAACTTTGATAACTTACATAGATAATAAGAAAATTTTCTGGACCTATTGGAACGCCCCATCTTGAATTTTTAGAGTCCAATAATAATAAACATCTAGTAAATAAAATTATTAAATAAATATTTCTAACACACACCCCCACCAATTAGCCCCGTAAGCACTATAAGGCTTCTGTTATGGAATACTAGGGTATCGGACAGAATACATATAGATACTGAAAGATATTAAGTAAGTTTATTTTTGTTTAGAAAACATATAAAACGTCCATGACTTGGTACAAAATCTCTTATTCATCACTCAAACATTTGCCCCACCGGGATTCCAATCCGATACCTATGTGTAGGCGACACCTTGAAAACCGGCGTATATACCATTTGAGCCACGGAGTTACCTAGTTTCGTTTCACCAGTAAGTAAGGTAAGTCCTCCATAATTCAGAGGCATACCGCCTATCGGGATTGCTATAGCTTTAGCCATAGCTTATGACTTCATTTGGTTTTATCGTTTTCAATTCGGAAATTTTGATGTTAACGATGCACGTCGCTCTGGTCGCCTTGTTACGAATAAAATGCCATTTTTGAAAAAGTGGAGCATCATCGTCATATCAGTAGTTACGACGTAGCTGAAGGACTGGTAATTGACCACAAAACAGTTTTAGCGGATTTGAAAAAATGCACGATATTTGGCTGAATAACTGGTGATGAAATGAGGATCGCGTACGACAAGAACGTGCGAAAAAGGTCGTGGTTAAAGGCCAGTCAGGCTTTACAGAGTCTGGCGAAACCCGGGTTAACTCGCAACAAGGTGATGCTGTGTGTATGGTGGGAATTGAAAGGGCATTATGTATTATGAGCTGTTACCGCCAGGCAGGACCATCGATTCTTATCTCTACTGCGAACAACTGATGAAATTAAAGCAAGAAGTTGAGAGAAATCGGCCGGAATTAATCAACTGAAGGGCTGTGATTTTTCATCATGATAACGCTAAACCTCACACATCTTTAGCCACTCAGCAAAAATTAAGTGTTTGACTGATGAGGTTTTAATGCATCCGCCGTATAGTCCTGACCTTGCACCTTCAGCTTTGCACCTGTTTCAGACTCTTTAGAATTCATTAGGCAGCGTCAGGTTAACATCATGAGAGGACTGCCAAAACCACCAGAAAATCAGTTCTTTATATCAGAAACCCCAAAATTTTTATAGCAATGTGATCATGCCCCTACCTACAAAATGGCAAAAAGTTATTAAACAAAAGTACCGTGATCAACGAGCAACTGTAGAAACAATATAAGTACTGCTAGCTTGTTTTTTTATCAATAATAACAAATTAATCGATGACACAAAGCGCATTAATACCCTTAAATAAACAAACCGTTAAACATTGGTTTAATTAAATGTTTAATTTATGATACAAGGTCGAAAGTTCAATAGCCGACACTCGGAATGTTTACCTAATAAAATTATTGTTAATTATTTTAAAAGTCTCGTAACGATAAACGATCTTATTGTAGGTCAACCAACCACTGCTCCCTTGTCGAACGCAGAACCTGTTATGGTGCAGGGTAAAATCGCCTCTGGTTAGTGCTAACGGCTGCAGATAGAGCTGGGACCAACAGCTTAACGTGTTGGAGAGTATGGGATAATATATGTTTGATCACCCATTCTATTTATTACAGGTCATTGCGAAAGTTGTCGCACTACCATAATCAGAAATCACAGGTCAAACGCAATGACCCCAGCGCCATTGAACTCTTCCTGAAGATCTGTAAATGCGTTTTTTTTTACTAATTTCTGTAATCCACGCACATCAACTCGCGGGCGATTCTTAGATATGTTATTATAAGGGAGTTCTAATAGAACTAGAACAAGGTCTTCGATAACACAAATTTCCTGAATCCGTTTCGTATGAGATAAATATTAAGATATTTTTTAAACATTTAACTGCTAGTTGTTTAATCCAAAGATTATTTTACTTAAAAAAAATCACTCTGTCCATCCCGTCCCGCCTGACTTTTGGAACTTTCTCTAGTAAGATTTTCTTTACATATATATTTTCAAGAGTTCAAGACCCCAAATCTGTAATTATGCTAAACGAGAGTCTGGGATTGTTTAATATTTTAAAAGTCAACAAACTGTGATAAAAATATATTTCACTCTGTTACGTTGCTAGGTTATTAATAAAACAATGATAAAAAAATTAACGGTCTTACTACAAAAAACTTAGACACGGTTAAAAACTTTGTTTGGGCAAATTCTGTACGACATTTTTTAACTTTTTTGTGGTAATAAGGTAAGCTTTTAAAACTTAAGTTTGAAGTTCTTAGTGGTTTCGTCGGTAGGTTTGGCTGTCTGTTTGCCAGACTCGCCGTGTATTAACATCTTTATGTACCTCCCTTGCTGGTCTGATGGCAGAGCAAGACCGAGTACCTCGCAATTTCTCATGATTTCTGTGCAACCACGTATATCTCGGATTCTCACTGGAACAAATAAAATTTGAATTATTAAGAGTTTATGTTCAAAGATTTTTTTAAAGGCAAGCTGTAGCCAGACCACTCTTTCCCAGTGGGCACTTTGGGCAAGTGCCCAGGGCCCCGCGATCGATAGGGGGGCCCCTCAGATCAAATACAAAGTCCCTAATTCCTGCTAAATCACCATAGGGGCCCCATCATCCTAATATGCCCAAGGACTCCAATAGGTCAAAGACGGCACTGCCTGTAGCAGTAAATTTTGGAATCAGTCTGAATTGCAGCGCTGTTCTGGATAAGTCTAGGTACTGCGCCTTCCAAAAGGCTACATACAAATCACATTATTCTGAATACAGAGTTATTTTGCCGACGATCTGGGGGTCAATCCTAACGGGATTGCTATGGCTATCGCTATCACATACGATATCATTTTGTTGTTTCTTCTGACCGCAGAAGGTTTTCGAATAACTCACGCTCATTTTCTTTAATATTGTTATAACCAAATCAGAAGAAAGGCATTTGAAATCCTTCGTTGGTCAGAAATTAACAAAATGAAATCGTAAGCAATAGCGATAGCCATAGCAAACCCGTTAGGAGATTAGCCCCCTGATAACACAATTCTCTGACAACGCACCTGTTCCCTCGCTCATACAATTCTCTGATGACGTACCTGTTCCCTCGCTCATACAATTCAGGCTTCATCAAACGACTTGTGAAAGTCAACTTACTCACCAGTACTAACTCTACTGCTTATTAATAAACCAAGTATATAAAACGTTAATATAATATTTAACATTGTATTGATGATAAGAACATGACCTTTGCTTGTTAAGCAGATACGGAACCCGAAGGAAATTCGTCCACTCGCAGAACCAGGAAGACGAGAGCATTATCAGTTTGTTACTTGGTAGGTATATTTATTGGTAGTTAAGTTATATGTTCGCTCAGGACAATGATACTTGTTACACATTACTATCGTGTTGATAGGCTCTGCAAATATAGACCTTAGGGGTCAATAGGGCGAGCGAGCGACATGGTAACATATTTTATAATACAATTCAGGTCATCTCAGCAAATCAGTATGGCTCGCTTAAAAGTATTCCTTCTTTCCGAACGTTCATAACATTACACCTTATGCCAGCACTTATTTTTTTAAATTTATTTATTCAATCAAATCATTACATTTTAATATACTATGGCTGTGTCTAAAAAACTCTGAAACATGGGTTTATATGTCTACAGCGATTCCCTCTACTTCTATTTTTCGCTTTACTTCATTTGGCTATTCGTGTTTGCTATTTGTAAACTTACCATCAGTCTGTCCTTTTTATTCCTTACAAAGCATGTTACACGAATAGTCAAGTAAAGTGCCAGCGTTAAAATGGAATATGATAGCCTGCAAGAGACGAATCACTTGAGTTAAATAAGACTTGTACATGCCAAGTTACGATTTTCGCTAAAATAAGTTTAACTGTAAATATCATATCAGTTAGTGCAACGAACTTCCTTGATTAGACAAAATACTGTCTTCTTTTGAATTAAAAAGTATAGAGGTTCATACTACGACGTTTTAAAGTTATAGATACGTCATACACGCTTCTAATTTGGCAATGCGATAGTCAGGTAATTATCCGACTTGCATTCAGTCGGGCACCACGCTCTCTCGCCGCTGCTACACTTTGCTGCAACGTGTCAAAAACCCCTATTTTTTTTAGAAAGTACACATAATACACGGGAACTATTAAAGACAAGAAAAACAAACCTTTCATTTCATTCGTAAGTACAGTTTTAAAGAAATTAATGTAAAAATATTAAGTGATTACTTTTATTTTGACAGCTGCTGACACCGTTGACATAGAGGCTAAAGAGCGAGATGTTATCTCCTTTATGAATGAGAGTGAAAGAGACTACTAAGGGCACTCTATTGGCGGCTGTTGCCAAAAGAAGTTGGGGCAGGGACTACTCGCTACTTGTGTCATTTTATAATGCAATAATGTTGGCGTATAACCTGTCTATATGTTATACGTCATGGGGTTCATATAGGTAACAGCTAAAATGTTTAAATATACAAATTAATAAGCTCAACATTGGCACTTTTGGCATTGACACTGGTTCAACGTACTCTAGTTTATCGGATATCATCTACAACCATTATAGTATCCAAAACTTGGAAAAGCAAGGTCTATGCACCAAGTATTCGTAGCTCCTGCTTATTTATACTCTGTTTCTGATTTCGTCTGGAGTAAAGTTGTATGTTTTAAAACCTGCCTTGCCTGCTAGACCTAGATTGAAGTGGTCCTGAGAAGCCCATTTCAATTATTTCGTTGTTACAGCTTTATATGACATAGTTAAACATTATATTTTCTTTTAAGCATTAACTGCTAGATATTTAAATCTAAAGAAAATTTTACTAGATAAAATCTATGCGGACCAGGCAGCAGACGGGACTCGAACTAACACTCTTTTTTTTTACATTTAAACATATAGCAGTTAAATGATTAATAAGCTATTTGTTCTTCCAAATGTTTAATACTTGTAAAGGTATTTGATATTGATGGCGCTACCTATCGGCCTAGGAAATGCTAGAGAAAATTCGACACGGCCATCAGGGTCGCGGTAGCATAATAGTCAGTCTGCATTCGCCAGAATAGCGAAAGTTGCGGGTTCGAGTCCCGTCTGCTGCCTGGTAAAATTTTCTTTAGATAGTTAGACATAACATCACGATTTTCATCCGGTATTCTGGATACCGGTGACGCGAAGAAATAAATAAGAGTAAAAGAATGACCATTCGTCTTCCTTTTGGCACGCGAAGTCCATACACTTGCGTTTCCTATTTCTATGTTTGTGGTGACACCGAAAATTAGTGTTGCCCAAATGCAAGAACAAGACGAGACTAAGACAGTCTTGGTCTTGGTCTTGCGCCAATACACCTGGTCTTGGTCTTGCGCTCCCAGTCTTGGTCTTGGTCTTGCAGCAAGAGTCTTGCAAGTCTTGCAATTACCAATTAGACTATTGCTATTTATTAAAGTTTACTTTAGATCTTAGAAAAACGTATTAGAATTGGAACATTGTGAGCTTGAATTAACATAGCCATAGTAAAGACCAATCAGATTAATAAATGTGTGAAGATTTGATAAGAAATTCGAAAAATCTACTGCCACATAGTTTTCCATAAGTAGGTAGGTACGCTTTTTATATTATTTTATTAGTTTTGTAGATTTTTTTACACGTTTCAAGTATACTTAAAAGTGGCTACAATATTTATCAAACGGGTGATATTTGACCACTTTTTTGCTATTTTTTCTTGTAAAAACTTAAGAAATTTAAGAAATATTTTGACTAAATGTACAATAATAGTACCTACCTAAGTAATTAGTTTAAACCCATATAATCAATATTATAACATATACTTACTAGAATAAATTATTATGACATCTACTACCTATCCTTACCATTATCTAATCATAATACTACTTGCGTGATCAGTATAATGTATTCGTTTCCATTCTAAGCACTCTGAAACTTATTTATTATTTGGAACACCTGTACTCTAAAATTCGATAATCGAAGTTCGTGTCATACCGTCTCGCTCGCTCTTATATTAAATAGTATTAGCGTGAATGAGACGGCACGACACGAAATCAGAATTTTGCATGAGTATACCTAGCAGGGCCTAGGTATATCGCGGCAATCAAATAGTGTCAATTGTTGTGATTTCGGCGCGGCGGCAACACCATCATCACCATGTACATACTTCCGAAAAGCGGCAAATTTCTTTGAGAAGTCAGTACAAAACCTTTGATGCCGCATTATCAAAGTGCCGATGGTGAAAACAAAACTATGCATGCTCTGTTTGATTTTAATGGATATTTTTTTATTCGCTAGGTATGTTTATGGTATTGGTCGTAATGCGCATAGGTCCAGTTTTACATATTCTTTGATACAGTTTTTTGCGTCTCATGGAATTCCTAAGCGTACCTATACACCGAACTGTATACCTAACTTCTCCGTGAAATAGCGCTAAGTCCTAGCTGCAAGACGCAAGAGTCTTGCCGGATTAGTCTTGTTCTTGCTCAAGTCTTGCACGGTCAGTCTTGGTCTTGGTCTTGCTAAAAATACGCGGTCTTGTTCTTGGTCTTGGTCTTGCAAAAATGCAAGAACAAGACCAAGACTGCAAGACCAAGACTGAATTTGGGTAACACCACCGAAAATCCTTTACGACGCCTTCGCGCTTTTCGTCCGCCCATCCGTCCCTCTATCGGTCTGTCAGCGAACATAATTCTTTCTTCACCACACATTCCACATTCAAATGTGATAATAATATTACTCTCTGTTGCATGCGTTTCATTCCTTTTCATAAATGCCTAAGAGCTTGCGCTGCGTTAAGCGGGAGCACGGAGCGGACGTCCGCACCACGTGCTGATTCATGTCATTTCACCGTGAAACAAGCACGCTAAGCGGGTGTCCGCTCAGTGTTCCCGCTTAACGCAGCGTAGGCCCTAAAAGGATATGTAAAACCACGTGAATAACAATCGAACTGTGTATATCAAAGATACAAAACAAACAATAAATATAATTAACAACACATTTGGAGCGAAGGCACTGCAGACCATTGTAACATATAGATAAAGGGACGGAACGTATTTATTACCAATGTTTAAAGAGGGATACAGTTTATATATTATATAGCGGAATGGACCAATATTTATTATAATGGTCTATGATAGTAGCCGCCGGTCAGACTGAGATGCTTCTGTACCAATATCAATTGTAGCTGTAGCGATTAAATAAACAAACAAGACGATACAGATGGTATTGACAAAGAGGGTGCATAAGTCCTGTCCACCTGTCCTGCACGGTGCGATGACATTCGAAGGTTGCAATGACCTGCTCGCACCCAGACATGAATCCAATTAAACATGTTTGGTACATGCATAAGAGACGCGCCAGAGCACTACCGAATCCGTCTGAGACCCTCCGTGACTTGAGACTGCTCTCACGGCTGTTTGGGAAGAAATTCGTCAAGTGGATATCAAAAGCATACTGCAAAGCATGCCATAACGCATGCAAGCAGTAACTGCAGCCAGGAGGGGCAATCGTGGTATGAAAGTTTAAATTTTCTAATGTTAAAACATATTTTTTTTATATTTTTCATTAAAGAAAATTTGGCAAGAATATTGTATTTCATTGACATTTAATTTTTGTATCAAATAACAGATATTTCCACATGACCCTAGACTAAAATTGCTATTTGCAGAAATTATAAGTTCTTTACTTACACTTAAAATTGAAAAGTACTTGAAGCACTTTCACATATTCAGTCATAAATTTGTATTTGAGAAGTGCTTGCAATAATCTTGTGACTGCATCTTCATTGTAATCTTCTTTAAGGGCTGTTATGCTGAATGCTGTTGCTCTGTAAAATCATAAGTATTTTTTATGTACAAAGAGTGTCTAAAATTGTATGACCCCCTAATGGTAAGTAGCTGCCATAACCTACAAACATCCAGTGGTCTCGTACCTACAGATGTTTTGGTATTTCTATCACCACATTTACATAAGAATTTTTATCTCAAAACATGGATTTGCGATACAAACTTTGTAAGGAAATGACTTTATTTGACCACTCAGAACTAACTAAATAGGTACAGAATAATATTATTATTATTAAATTAATTCAAATTCCTTTAATTTGAATATAAAGGAAATTGAATTTTGTTTATTTGTCATGCTTCACCCATTTCTCACCATGACATTAGAGACCACAGTAAACACTCATAATACCAAAGTATTTCTTATGCCAATAAAACCCTGACCCCAGCCACTACCCATCATTCTTACAATTTTACAAAAACTGTAGTAGGTAGTAGAATATTTCTACAAAAGCACACAGTTGGTGACAAAATCATAACAGGTGCTATTTGCCGATGCTTGTATCTTGTTATCTAGGGTATATCTTGTTGGTTGTCCTTAAAAAAATAAATAAATTTCCATTGTACTGGAAAATAATGAATAGTAAGACTATTATACTTACTTGTCTCTCACTATATCTCTTAAAGCTTCACTTGTTTCCAATAACTCATCGGCTAGGACTTGGTCCGAGAACCAACTGCTTGACCAACACAAATGCCAGAAACATATCAAAGGATAGTGATCGTTCCAAACTTCACTAAAATTTAGTGCATACTTCTTAAATATAACCATTGAGGCCTCTGATTTGTTCAATACAGCATCTTGTATTAATTCTCTAAATATAATTCTATAAAAGCTACGCATGCTTACATTATTTTCGTAACTTTCAGTAAGTATAGATAAACCTTTTTCAGAATTCCCTTTGAAGCACTGAGCTTTCGCTAGGAAGTGCATAAACTTTCCACTCCTTCGGTACGTATTTGGGTCTACTTTTAAACAATAATGCTGTAAGTTTATTATCATTTCTGGCTTGCCGGCCAAGCTGTAATGTCTTAACAATCTCTTAACACAGTTATCACCGAGAAGCTTACGATTATCACGGCAGTATATTATTAATCTTCCTATTTGACTGTCTTTATTTCTTGTGAGTAACTTCATAACGAATTCATGCAATACCTGCTCGGTCATATTCTTTATGTCCATCACATTACTCCCATGATCCATAAAACGGCGTATAGAGAAACTGTTTATATCTGTGATGCTGTTTCTCTGTTTTGATTTATATCGCTCAAGGAAATCGTATGTGAAACTGTCAATATCAATTGTGGTGGCAAAGTAACATACTGCATTTGGAAATAAAATGTGATTCGACTTTGTATTGCACACCAAGCGGAAATATTTTAATGGATGTTTTCTGTTTAGTATTCTCATCATGATTTCTTATTTAGAGGGATACTTAACTTAAAGTAAATACTTATTTATTAAGTGGTTAACCTAACCTTTATAATTTTCTTTTAGTTTTAGTAGCGTAGTTCACAATCAACATTGTGATAGCACTGCTTATGGCATGTGGAACTAATTGATTATTATTTTAATAAATTTAAATTAAATTTGAGAAATAAATAGCAAAAAAAACATTGTTCAAATATTGTTGACAAACAATGACATTGTTACCCAGGGTTGCCAGATGCAATTTTATGAGGTTAGAGATCTCTAATCTCCATGGCTGACATGAAGAGATTTTGACGTGACAACGTCTTAAATTAGGTTGCGGCTGGGAGTCACTTATGAAAAAGTGTAACGCTCGGTAACGTTACGATGAGTCTCTCGTGTTAAGTTTAAGTTTACATGTACAATGTTTTAGTAAACAAAATATATTTCTATAGTTAAAATTTGTGCAATTCTTATTTTCATTCAATTCCTTGTTCCTATTGTGCAATTTAATTATATTCATATCAATAAATATTCTACCGAGAAAAAGACGTTGTCACGTAAAATCTTCGCCCGTAAAACCGACTTTACAGGCAACCATTTTTTTTTTTCTATATTCGTCAACAAATTACAATAAAATAATTTTTTGGGTAAATTTAAATTACTTTTTATAATTATGAAGAGAAATTTAATAAGACGTCTACGTAAAAAGGAGCATCTTGCATACTACTGCCACCTAGTGACAGATAGTGAAACTTTGTGCTAAAAGGCACTCCTAATGGTTTTCAGTAGTTTTCCTACTCCCTAATAGATGGCACTACTTGTAATTCACAAACTATCTTCGCATCTGAAAATAAAATATTTTAGTTTTCGATCCTCCTTCATCCGATCGACATTTTTTTAAAGCTGTACTAGTAAATAGTAGTTTTACTACGCCTAGCCATAATATGAGCATGCATCCATGTTTTTTTACCTTAGTTCCCAGTCTAAAATTTTTAATTTTAAGTTTCTTAACGACAATAAAAGGCAAAATCGCCACGTGCTACTATGATCGAAAATGAGATAAATATGTCGTGGCCATATTAATCACTTCATGAAATGCTTGAGAATTTCATGAATGGTCGCATTTCATGAAATGGTTCACTATCTATTGGCCAGATCATGATGTGGTTTGGGCAGATCAATGATGAGAAATCGTTTCACGATATGGCCAACTAAACGCGTGGCTACTTCATGAAATGGCAAAAATTATTTGATCATATCGTAAAGAAGTTACATTAACTACCGGTAGAGGCGCTGTAAGCGCTTTGTTTATATATTTATATGGCGGCCGCTGCTGACAATGTTGTTTCTCGCAGTAAAAAATTAATGAGGAAGAAAGTTAACAAAAGGGTTTTCGACGAAACAAATTAAGGAGAGTAGGGTGACTACGCAAAAGAAATCTATGGACTATTACTGGCTGTCAAAATATGACATTTTGGAAACTGCGGTTGAGGTACAAAGTGCGGATGAGAATCAATGCCGTACAAAGATATACTGTAAAACTGTACTTCCAGGGCCTAAGAGGTGATACTTGAATTTCTTTTGTAGAAAGGGTCTCTTTTAGTACAGTTTTTTTTTCTGGCGCTTCGCCGGTCGCTGCCGCGGCACGCTCGCTTTGCTCGCTCGGCTCGCGCGTCATGGTCAGAACACTAACCTAACCTAGTGTGAAGTATTACCGTTTGGGCCCTGGAAGAACAGTTAAGTCTACTATTGTAATAAGTACCAAAGTACCTTATTATTTCTAAATATTTGATAGTATTCTAAATATAAATGTGTAAGTTCTTGACATGTTTGATGTAATATTTTAGTAAAAAAAAACTTTAATTTGTTTATTTTGTTACAAAAATTTGATTAAATTTGTTTGTGTCATTCGGACATAAATAACAATAAACAAGTTCTTACATATTCTGGGTTTTTAATAAATATTTTAAGGGCACCCTTATTATACGATCCGGCCAAATGTGGATGACCAAAACGTTAAATGTTGACGATTTAATGATCTGGTCAAATTAAGTTGGCCACATCATGAAATGTGACTATTTCATGAAATTCTCGAGCATTTCATGAAGTGAGCAAATCTACGATATGGCCACGACATATATATCATTTATCAGATTTTGTTTCTGTGTCAATTTGTTTATGTTTCGTGAAGATATGAGTACTTTTTTGGCCCTTAAGCACCTCAATTTTTTGGAGATTTTTATTGATCACAACGCTTAAACGACATAAATTTTGGTGTTTTTTTTGAACCAATTGCGCTTACGCTCTTCCCGTGGCTGTTTTATCTGGCGTATGAATAATGTTTGCTTGACAAAAATATCTAGTCTAGTCAACAAGTGCCTTTTTGGTCAACTTTTTTCAGCAGTCTCCGAAAATTATGATCGAGGTGTCATTCGATTTGGAATGGCATCTAGATGATTTATGAAAAAAATGAAGTTCCGCAAACAAAAATTGCAAAAGTTATTAACAATTAACTAAAAAAAAGGGGGGTTTCGTTTTTTGCAAATATCCCAAAAACTAATAAAGATATTTCAAATTAAAAAAAAAATTAAAAAGAGGAGGAAATTTCCTTAAAAAAATCCCTAACTCCCGGAACTGTAGGATCAATATTTATAATTTATCCAGAGGGATGAAAATACGGCCGAAAACGGGTCCTCTGGCTTGCGTAAGCCACGCCTACTTTGGGCACTTTATTAATAAAAAATATTTTAACATGTTAAATATAAAATTTAAGAATTTAAAAATTTAAAAATTCAGGGGCTTACTGGATAGATGAATGAACAATAATCAGCGTAAAAAAATTTTTTATTACAATTTTTCAATTAGTTATGCAATTGTTAATTAAATATTTTTTTCCGCTTGAACATGAACTTTGCAAGTGTGATTATTGTTAAACTATAAATTTGAGATTTTTTTCCTCTCTTGGAGCAGTTCTTGAAAGGATTTAGAATAGATCCCCGTTGGAAAAATAAAAATAAAATATTTTTCAGTTTTTTATTAACAATTATCGTTGTTGCAAAATTAAAAAGTTGAATTATTCATCAAAAAATTTTTTTTTTTTTCAAATATTATTGATGATCCGTTTTTATGTTATTAGAAGCTGCATAAATTTTTTTTTTTTAAGTTTTATCTGTTTATGTTTAAAAAATTGTTATAAACAAATGCGTTGGTTATTAGATAATTGATTTTTTTTATGGAATTTCAATCTTTCATACAAATAATGATTTTTAAAAGAAAATTTGTTCCTTAAAAAAATTTTTATATGCTTAAAAACTTTTTTCCCACTTCTAATTAATATTAAGGAACAATTTCTTTTTAAAAATCATTATATATTTTTCTTTTTGTTATAAAAAAATCGTTTTATTTATTTTTTCATTGTTTATGTAATAAACAATTTGTTATAAACAAATAAATTTTTATCTTATATTTTTTTTCTTATTCTACTTACTATCACAAAAACAGACATGATTTGGTTTTTTGTTATTTTTTTTTTAATTTAAACAAAAAACCAAATCATGTCTGTTTTTGTAACATTGGGATGTCGTAATACTCATATCATTGACGAGTTTTTGGCGATTAGTCTACCTACCCCTATAGTCAACGTCAACTATCCCCGGTCTCCCCTACAGTATCAAACGTTTGATAGGTACAATAATCTGTGATCATCTTTGTTTCAAATTGTAAAAAACTGGTGGAGAGATCATACTAGTATATTAAGAACAAAATTAAAATAAAACCATCAGTACAGTTTGTCTATAAAGTCGTGACATGAATGTTTGAGGAACTAACATTATTCATGTGTCTGGCAACACCAAACTTATGTACATCAGCTGTCATCGAGTTTCAGTTGTGGAACAGTTATCCTTTTGTATTTTTTATTGTTTGGATTAAACTGTAATAAATTAAGACGAAACTACGCAGAAAGGTATAAAAATGAGTAAAGTAAATCGGAGTGGCACGCGGGAAGTAATTTTAAAAGTTTTCCAGCGATGTTTCGAAGACTACCATACTGGACGAATTTTGTGGGATTTGGATGATGTTTATGGGCGAACAGCATCTATGACGGGTATGTAATCATGTAACTATTTGTTTGTAATCTGCCTGAAGTTTGACAAATTTACTCAATTTACGATTTTGAGACCAAAAAAGGCATTGTTTACAATGCACATTTTTAGGTTAGATTGACATTGTAAATAGGTAATATTGTAGTACGACCATTTCTTTTGATACGTTATTATGGTTCAACTCGGTTTTCTACCAATTTTGAATTACTTGCTTCATGTCAATAAGTTATTGTTTCTATTCCGTTACATATTTTTTTTTCAGGAAAATCAGAGAGTCGGATAGTCAACGAAGGTTTTAAGAATGATGGAAAGTTTGAAACTCCTGGGAAAACAGGCAAGGCCGACCATGCTTTTAGTGAAGATACCTATCACTAATTTTACCAACTGCACATTTACAAATTGTTTCTCTAAATAAACTTTTTATATACTATAAAATGATTTTTAGTATTATTTTCTTAAAAGTGTGTTAAAAAACGTCGTATGATGATACTTGTGTGTATTGATGATTACCAATTGGTTCTGGTCTCAAGGGCACCTCAGCGGTAATCACCAACATTACACACTTTTACACTATAAAGTACTATTTTATCTATAATAATTTTACTCTGATTCAATTAAATATGCTTGGCTAAACTTTTTATAAGCATAAGTACCTACTATATATAAAACAGAAACAAAATACGACTGTATTGTGTGTCTTATTAATTACCTATTTTACTTGAATGAACTGCATCACTGAATGAACAAAATCATTTTGGTCCGACTGTATAGGGTTGCTACATGCATACTAATGCATATTAGTAGCATAATTTAATGTCACGACTTTATAGACAAACTGTACAAAAATGTCCTTCACTGTGTCAACAACTGGCAGAGGGGAATCTATTATAACAAATTATTGTTTTAAACTTTCATGGTCACTAACATTAAAGTAATAGATGTTATTAATGGGATTGTTAATATGTACCTTGTTTTTAGCGAGTTTCCGATGTAGCCATGATCACGGAGTAAAACATGGTTCATGATAACATTCCCGTTAATAACATACTGGGTCTCCCGTAAATAATGGTCCAACCG